ATCCTTTCATTTCTTTTTCTTTTTTTTTTGTATTATTAACATGAAAGACTTGAATTCAATATAAGTTACCCACTTTATTAAATGAGTATTTTATCAATTGCTGATAAAAATTCAACATTCTTTTCTTTTCTTTTTTTTTATTAATGCACGATCGATATTGACATTCATGTTTCGTATTATCAATCAACTTAAGAGGAGAATTCAATCCTCTCTTAATATAATATTTAAGAGAGATTAATCTATCCTTCTGAAAACAACACAAAGAGAACAAAATCTTCTATATATCTTGATTGATCCTAAAGTATTCAAAATATTCTTTATGAAAACTATCTTCTTTTTTTTTTTTCTTCTTTTTATAAATAGAATAAGATGCAAACTAATCCTGTAAAGTCGAACAAAAAAAAAAAGAGAAAAAAAAAGTAAAAAGCAAAACGCTTTTTTTTTGTGTTTAACATAATACATTAATCAATGCATTTTTTTTCTGTTTTTCATTTTTTTAAAGAAAAACGCACCGATCGAACCGGACGTAGATCATGTTTGTTTTAAATTATAAATCTAACGAGAATAAAGGAGAAAATGAGCCAATACAAGACACAAAAAAAATTACGGGACGACAAACGACGAGGAGTTAATAGAGAAGAACAAAAAAAAAAAAGAAAAGAGAGAGCCGTGCAAGTTGTGTGTGACTCGGTTTACAGGCATTATGTATGTATGTGTATGTGTGTGTGTATGGGCACAATTATGAAGAAAACAAAAAAGAAAATGACAAGCATGTATACCAACACACATCTGACAGCAAAAAAAAAAAAGAAATAGGAAAGATGGCACGCACAATGTGGTGGTCATGTGAACAGTAATAACAACATCAAAGTAGCAAGAAACAAACGAATCTAGTAATACAATTGGTATTCGTAATAGAACAAGACAAAATAAGAAACTGACAACTAGAAACCGAGGTCTCCTTCAATGGCATTAACATCAAGATCAATAGCTGCAGGATATTTATTAGAATTTAATGTACTACTTCGTGTCGTTATACCACTGTTAGATCCTGATGATATTGTTTGACATTGAGATGAATATTGTTGTTTATGTTGTTCACCAGAACCTGTACTAAATCCAGAATCATATGACATATTAGATTCTTCATAGTTAAATACATGACCGGGAGGAGCATCAGTAAAGTCGACTGGAGAATGAGCTGGAGAATCATAATCACATCCGCTATCTTCATCATCAACTCCAATACAATCTTGATCAGCACGTCTTGTCATCTACACAAAAAAAAAAATATGAACGGAAATGAAATGACAATCAAAAATCTTCTGTCTTTCGCTTTCTCTACATAACATCAAGTGTACTAATTAGTAGATTTTAAATTGTAATTAAAAAAGAAAAAACTAAATGAAATCTAATACAATGAAATCATCTATTTATAGTTCTAAAAGAAAAAAAACGATAAACAGGTGCGAATGTCAATCATGTATACATGTATGTGCTGTTCGTACAACTCAATTTGTTCGCTTGGGGAAAAAAAATGAGACAAGTTTCTTTTTTCATCGTAATCATTTTTTTGGGTTAATTTCTTCCGACAAATTCTCTTGCTGCTTGCTTTTATAAAAATCATTTGTATATGTATGCATGACATACCTTCTTTGGTGAATTGCCATCAAAGCTATATGTCGACTGAGTCTAAAAAAAAAGAGAAATAATAAAATATGATAAATGACTCGAATCAGTTACATTTCTTTTCCTCTCTCTTGGGTACTGATTCAATGAGACAGCAGGAAAGAAACATGAAATGTCAGTGTATTATATTTATATACATATTATATATATATATATATATATATATGATGTAATCTTTCTTACAATTCATCATTATTCATTTTTAGTTACTTATCTCTTGTATTCTTTTTTTTTTGCTTTATTTATTATATGTGCCTTGTCAAAATCTAAAATGAGGACGACAACAAGTAACATTAATGAGAATACTCAACAATAATGAGTAGAACTATTACTACTAATAACATTTTAAATATATATATATATATACATATATATTTAAGAACAAGAAATCTGTCAACCCTTTTATATGTTTTATTACAAGAGAAAATTTGAAAAACACAATTTTCTATGTTTTGTTAATGATAAATGGACTGATGATATGTTTGTATATACATATAATCCAAATGAATATCGAGAAAGTAATAAAGAAAGTTCACACAATCAATGATGAAGAGTACATTAGCACCTTTCACTGACATGACAACAAACGAGAATAATGGAATAATATATACATACTGAGAATTTAAAAATAATGTGTGATAGAGACATTTTGCGTGCTTCAATGAATAGAATTGATCACACATATATTCATGCATACATATAAAAGAGGAAAGTGGGTGGCTTGAGATGTAGAATATAAACAATTGTCGTCGACAACGACGATAATATTATGAAAGAAAGAAGAGATTCAAAAGAAAAATGAAATAGTATATTTATGTTGACCGTTTGATGAAGCTCTAAATTTCATCAATGCACTTCTAATTCTCTATATTTCATATAATATACAAATCTCGATTGTATCGATAGAATATATATATATATATATATATATATAATGTTAAACCTTGTATATGAAGTATTTTCTTTTACCTGTTTCATTTTAAGTAAATCTAAATATGGTCGATGATCATCTTCGCTTGCTTTACGTTTTCGAGTGGTACTCGAACGAGTTGAAATTGTAGTCGTTGTTAATTTATTATTAGTTTTAATTGATTCATCAGATATAAATGAATCAATTTTAACACCGGCTGATGCAGCAGCAGCACGAGTTAATGGTGGCACCGGTTTTTGTTGTATAATTGGTGTTTCTAATGAAAGTTTTTCTGTAAATGATGGTATAACTTCAATATTATTATTATTATTATTATTGTTAGTTGAATTTTTTAATTTAGTACGTGATCTTAAATTATATGGATTTTGTGTTGAATCTGATGATGGTGGACGTACAGCAACCGGTTTAATAACTTGTATACATTGTTCATTATTATTTATAGACGATGACATATCTTTATTTAAATTAGATGTTGAACGTGTCATTTGACGACGAGGTGATGGGGTCTTTTTCATTGTTTCATTAAAATCATTTGTTGTTGAATTTCTTGTTGTTATTGAATAATGATGATGATGATGATTACTCATCTGAATAAAACCAAAAAAAGACAAAAAAAAAGACAAAAGACTATAAATTAAATCGATTAATAATAGAAAAAGAATTATCTATATTAAAGAAATTATTATTGTTACTGGTATTACTTCTGTAGTTGATAGGAGTGAATGGTAATGGTAGAGAGAGAGAGAGAGAGAGAGAAAAAGAAGAAGAAAAAAAAAAAGAAAAACGAGAGAATGAGAGAAAGCGCGAGGAAAAAAAAGAAAAAAAAACGATGCAGCAGATTTTCTATGTGTGTATGTGTGCACATGCTGACGTTCCTATGTGTCTGCTGTGAGTTACATTGACCTCGATATCAATTCTACAGAAGAGTGTGAATATATACAAAAAGGAAAAAAAAAAGACACAGAAAATTATGGTTAGATTATTTATTTGTTTGTTTGTTTTTTTGTTTGTTCTTTGTCATGTGTACAAAGGTAAGAAATAAATATCTTTCGAAATTATTTAAAAAAAAAAAAAATCTTATTCATTGAATTTTAGTAACCTCAAAAAATATATTATTCTTTCTTTCGAAAGAAAAGACAAGAACAAAAAAAACAACCAAATCTGATGAGTTAAATCGCAAATTTTTCGTCAACTACAAACCTTTGTTATTGTTATATGAGTATTATTTGTTGATATTGATCGTCGTAAATTCATTTTGTTTTATTGAGAACAAAATAATAAAAAGAAAAAAGAAAGATAGTACCAGAGAAAAGATCGTTGACGTTGTCGTTGTTGTTTTTTTTTTTTTCGAGGATAATGCGTAGTTGGATAGATGGATGAAAATAAGAAGGCAAAGTAAAGACGACGACGAAAAGACCGATGTTACTTGTGTGCGTGTGTGTATGTGTGTGCGAGCACAAACAGAACAGCTGAGCGGTGTGGTGGATAGATTGAGAAAGAAAAAGAACGAAAGAAAGAAAAGAAGAAGAAGAAGAAAAAAGGAGAATGTTATATTCGCTATGCAACGACAAATCTCTCTCTCTTAGTTTTTTTGCACCGAAAAGCAATAGTAGCCGCGGGCCGCTATTTGTCAATATACATATGGAACGAACGCGCGCTTGCTTAAATCAACGCATCGAGAGAGAGAGAGAATTGGCTTCGATTCAATATTTATTCATCGTTTATGTGCTTCCTATTTCGTACTTAACTACATGATTATTATGAGGTGCTCACACACTTGAATACCTACTCGGGGGGCCTATTAAAGTAGATTATTATTTCTTTTTTCTTTTTCAATATGTATTTCACCTATTGTCCATTCATCTCGTTTTTCTTTTTTTTTTTTTGTCAATGTTCGTATCCATTATATCATTAAACTTGCATGAGAAGAAAAAGAAAAAGGATATTATAGACATTCTAATTGAAATTTAATCATTTTTTCCCTCCCTTTCTTTTTTAATGAATTTGAAAATTAAAATAAATACTGAAAAAAAAAAAGAAAACAACAAAACAAACTAAAAGTTCGTCTGTTCTCACTTTCAATGTCATCGCCTGCTAAGGGCACCATAGGAAAGCTTATTATCACTATAGTTTGATCGGTACAAGCTGAATGCTACTGCTGTGGACTATCACTTTTCACCAGACAGAAAACGAGAAATAACATACAACATACACACGCAGAGAGCCTAATTGATGGAACACAGCATGAGAGATAAACAGCAGTAATAATAACGACCATATTACTGTACATAGAATAGAAAAGAAAAAAAAAAAAAAAAAAGAACAAACGATTAGACAAGTGAATGACTAGATCACGAAAAAATAAAAAAAAAGCTTTTTTTTAATTAAACTTCATTGGCCATTCTGTTATAGTAATTGGCTCTCGAAAATTTCCATTAAATAAAAGATCAATCCAATCTAAAAATGTTAATGTTTGATTTGATTGTTCATTATTATTAGATATTGATTCATAAGAAACAAAAAATTTTCGTCTTATATACAAAGCAAGAACATTTGATGAAAAAAATTTTATTGATTGTTGATTTTGAATTTTTTTTGAAAGTTCATTAAGCCATTTCATTGATTGTTGACGATAAAGAATAGAAAAAATCATATGAGAACTAAAAGAAGAAAAAGGAAAAAAAAAACTTCATGTTTATCTTCATTATCTATGCAATGATAATCAAGTCATTAGTAGTGTTGTTGTCTTTTATTGATATAAAAGACTGATTCTATAAGTAGAAACATAATTTTTATATAGATAAACAAGAATTTTTTAAGTAAATTAGGGAAAAAAAAAAAAAAACTTTTTTTTTTTTTTTTTTTTTTTTTTTTATGAATTAGTCAAAGAAAACAAATACTAATGAAACTTGATTTTGATTGAGATAAAGGTTTTTTTTTGTAACATAATTTTATTAATTCTATTGTCAATATCTTTTTTAATATTTGTCATATGTTGATTTGTATTATAGAAGAAATTAAGCAGTACTTATAATTTAACCTTGAGCAAATTATTTGATCTTTATAATAAAAATGACATTTATATTAATCTAGTTAGTTTGATGACTAATTCTAAACTAAATCACGTCTAAGATTTTTTTTTTGTATTGTTCTAGGTGATGGAATGTAAATCTTAAGATAATAGATCTTATACAAAAACATGTTTTTTTGGTATTTTGCCTCTAACTTCGGTACATTCTTTTCGAGCAATATTTTCATTTGAAAGAACTCATCAAATTGAACAAAAAAGTTTCTTATGAGATTTCCAAAAAATTCAGGTTTTTTCATTGTAAATTATTTTTCGAGACTATGAAAATCTAGTATAGTGTATCTTGTAGAGACTTTTGTACTCTACAAAATTCATATAAAAAATATCATGTCAAGTTGTAATTTGAAAGATAAAGGAGAGGAAGTGTGTAGGACAAGCTAAAATAAAAATCTCGATTATTTAACCATTTATTTATTTTTTTTCGATGAATTGTCGGAAGTTTTATCTTAATTTTCAATACATACTCTTTAATTAAATTAATTTCTCGAATAAAATCTTTAACACATAAATCTTCTGGTGTATCTGCAATAAGAACTAATATAATAACATTTGATGCACCCGGATTTGTATATTGTTGAAGTAAAGCTTCATTAAATTCACAGATTTTTATTTGACTAAATAAATATTTATTTAAAACAAATAATAATAATAACAATAATAATCTTACTTAATTTTACTAGATTGTTTTAAATTATGATTTCTATTATCCGATTCTGATCGTGAATAATACATATAAACAAAGATTAATATAGTAAACATCCAAAATTGATATGTATAAAGATATCCCGATCTAATAAAAAAAAAATTAATAAATAAATGCAAAATACGGATTTAGTTTAGTCATTTTTTTGTCTATATATTGAATTTAATTACTCAAAAAACAAAACAAGACTTGATCATGGCGTAGGAACGCTACTATGCACCTCCGATAGCTATAATCTATACTCATTCATCTTTGAGAAAAGAAAAAAAATATTTACAAATATCGAAGTAATCGATTTCGTTCAATCCAATAATTCCATTTATATTCAAATTGATCGATTATTCTTGTGAAAATATCCTTTGAAAAAAAGATAAATCGCATAGAAAAAATTATTTTTCTTTATTGAATTTACTTGTTTTCTTTCATCAAAATTAATTATTATTGGTAATTTATATTTTTTAGTAAATTGCCAACGATTATTAATAAATAATTTTAAATTTTCTTCTATATGAATTATATTACGTTGAATTTCATTTAAAGATTTTTCATCAAATTCAATATTTGTATTTTGTATTTCAATTGTATCAGAAAATAATCGACGAGCAACAAGAATCTATTGAAAACAAAATTAAAAGAAATCATTTTGTTTGTTTTTTTTTATACTTACAAGTAATTTTTTCTCATTTGTATGGTAATAGGATGAAACGATTTCATGAAATTGTACTTGTTGTACAGATGATGAATCAAGATATGCCATACGAGATTTATATTCGTCAAATAATTGTTTAGAAAGTTGTAAAAATGATAAATGATATTGAGCAAATAAATTTCGATCACCGATTATTAAAAAACAAGGTCTAGAAAAAATATATATCAAATCAAATCAATGATAAATTTTAAATATTAAAACTTTTAATCAATAGAAAAAATTATTCCCTTTTGAACTACATACATCCGACATGTCTAACTTCAAAGCAAAAATTCCTTATTTCGGCTAAAAACATATTGACTGTTGACGTCATATATCTGGAAAATTTAAAATTATATAGTAGTTGGAGACTAATTTGAAACTTAAAACAAACATCACTACTCGTACAATAGTCCTCTCTCGATCTATTTGTTTCGCCGAGTCCTTAGTAGAGCCCATCGGGTAGGGTCCGGGTCCGAGTCCGAAAATTCTTGAACCCGATGGGCTGTAGTTCTGAGTTAACTAGCCGAAATCAGAGACCTCTACCTTGAATAATACAAACTAGAGATGTCAAATGTGCGGAGTTCATAAGAGAACAATATTCTCTATAGACGATAAGTTTTAATATTTGAAATTCAATTTTGGGTATCTGAAAATATTTGCAGTTTTCTTAAGATCTACTTGAAAAGTTTCTAGACGTTTGAACGAAAATAAAACTATTGTATGAACCTCGTACTTGGCTATAAGTTGGAAAAAACCTTTTCGTAATATCTCTTTACATTTACGAGTTATTCAACTCGAAGTGACTCGCCTTCTAGTTTGAAATGCATAGTACCGTCCTGCACAGAATCAACTAAATTGTTTGCCGAAAATTTAGTTTCAACATATGAACTTTTTTGAATAGTAGGCTTTGTTCTCTAATTTACTGATGTTTTTTGGAGGTTTCAACGATATCTCATCAAAACCTATGAATATGAAAGAAAATCGTAGATGATATGAAAAACAAATTTTCAGATCCGGTCAAAACGTACTTTCAATAAAATTTTCTAATCGGAATAGGATAGCCGTCCCGAATATACGAGATACTTTTTGTCCGGTTGTTTTTTTTGTATTCGGTGACTAGTGCACTCCAGACATATCTCAGATGAATCGTCTGAGAAATGTGAAGCGTAAAGCTATACATTGTTCTGAAAAGTAATAATAATTCTGTTGTTTTCTTTTTTCAGTATTATATTATATTAATTGAAAAATTTGATTGTTCGAATATATAACTTTAATGTTAATCTTTAACATCTATATATAATTATTTTTAGTATTCAAATTAACATAAATTTCAATTTAAAAATACTAAAAATAACATTCGGTGTTTTTTTTTTGTTGCTTTTATCGAATTAAATCAAATATATTATGCAAAACAATTTCAGGTGTACTTATAACATTCAAGGACAAAAAAAAAAAATATTATTTTAAATATTTCATACTTAGCAGAATTTATTTGACAAATAAGATTAAATACATTTGCACTTGTAATTGTAGATAAATGTAAAAGTTGATTGGATTCAAATAATTTTTGTAGATTATCAAAAGTAAAATCATTCTAAAAATAGATTCATTATAAATATTTTGAGGGGAGAAAAAAAAAGAAAAAGAAAACACATATATTAGATTTACTTACATCTTTAATTACAAATTCAGGTTTATTAATATCTTCTTTAAATAATAAAACAGTATCTGATATTATAGAAATTTGTTTAAGAAATGATGGTATTGATGTAGTTTTTATTAGAGCTTTTCAAAATAAAAAACAAAAAATTAATTGTTTTTATTATTATTATTATACATACATGAATTAAATAGAGCACATTGTATTCTTGTTGAATATTGTAAACATGGTATAACAAATTTAAGTGTTGGTATTTTTTGTTTTGTTATTAATAAAGCATGTACTCGATTTGATTGATTATATGATTTAATCATTGTTAATATATCATCATAATTTCGTAACTAAATATTTGAAAACTTGAATATTATAAAAAACAAAAACAAAGAAACAAGTATTTTTACTATTTGAATAAATCGTTTTATTGGTATTGATTTTCGTACAAATTCTTTTATATTTGCTTCAGTATAATCCATATCAAAATGATAAACACGACCTTGACTTATAACACATAATGATGGAATATTTAATATTCCTAATTGACTACTTAAACGTTCATCATTTATATTAAATTCAGCAGTACCAATACCTATGTATTATAGGAAATGATTTAATTATAATTAACAACAATAATTCATAAAGATTATTTTTTATATAACCAATAATTTTATATTAAACTAAATAGCAGGTATCTATTTTGTATTAATGGATTCTTCGTGTCAAAGTATGATTAACGATAGCACCATAGGGAAATCAAGCCTTGGAAAGTTGATGCTAACGATAGTTCTACAGAAGGTCTGAGAACACTTAATCTTCTCTGGCACCACTATTATTGTCCGAAAAAAAAATAAAAAGCGAGTAACCATTTTTTGAATAAATCTTTATAGGAACAAGATAGAGAGCTACGGTTTTCACCATTCAAAAGAGCAATGTCCAGGCCATTGATCGGTATAGAACTGATTAAGATGAAAGATGCTTTTTTATAGGTATCTTTGGATCAACACTTTTTCCTTTGAGTATTTTCATCAATTTTCGCAATAAATTTAACATTGGTTTTTTTTCAAATCCACTTTGAATAAGAGGTTGAGAGATAATAGAACCTGTGATAATTTTATAGCGAATAGGGATGATTTGAGCTACATATTGGCATAATTTGAGTTGAGATTATTGTGAAAATACTCAAATGAAAAAGTGTTGATCCAAAGATACCTGTAAAAAAAAACATCTTTCGTCTTAATGAGTTCTATACCAATCGATGGCCCATACATCGCTCTTTCGAATGGTAAAAACCGCAGCTCTCTATCTTGTTCTTATCAAAAGTTATTCAAAAAAAATACTTAGCGCTCTTCTATGTTGAAATGGGTAATAACAACAAGTTAACGCGACGTAAACGTCGCCGACCCTCTACTGAAAGGATATGATGCTGCAGAGATTGGGGTATTTGAGCAGGAAAATACAATAGCTATTGTATTGGTATACATACTGGGTAAGGACTATTTAAAAAACTTCTATACTATTTTTGGATGGGACACATAAAATTATATTAGGAAAAACATTTCGACTTTTCTAAAACTTTCGTATGAAAGAAACCTGTGAAGACTGTCGTATACAAGAATGATAAAAAAAAGAGCCACAATGCTGACCTGTACAAAGCCTTCTCTGATCTGTGGCACATTATATTCTTGAATCGAGCTCTTTCCTTCTCACTTCACATTAAACTTAGACAAATGATAGACTCTTACTTTAAAATTTTTTGTAATCCCTAATAAAAGTATTAATAAAGTGAAAACGTCAGCTTATCATCTTCTTTAGCAACTGCGATTTTTTATCACTAGTTGCTCTTGAAAACTCATTTTCTACAAATCCAAATCCAAAAACGCACGATAAGCTCGTCAACATCTTCAAAATCTCATTTTCTCACACCGTAGCTTCAAAACACAAGATAGGCTCGAGTACCACTCCGCGAAATTTCCTTCGCCAACAATCCGCTCCGAAAAATGCCAGATCCCGCCAATTTCCTTGCCTCACAATATACTTCATTGATGGCCCATATGAAAACAAACCCCTGATGGGTTCTATTTCAGTTCCGCGAAATCCCATTGGCTAAGACCCCATCTCGGAAATCCTCGGATTGGCTCGATTTCGGCACCGCTAAACACATCGACTGTTGGTCCATATCGAAAAAACTATAATTGGCTGAACTTCGGTTGCGCCGAATCTCATTCACTGATAGGCCATACCCACAAACACGTGATTGGCTCAGCTTCTCCAGCGCGAAATCTCATTGACTAATCGCCTATATCAAACCGTCCCTCGTTGGCTGGCATTCAGCTTCGCGAAACCCCAATGAGTGAGCGCCCATATCGGAAAACCCTTGATTGGCTGGAGTTCTGCAGCACGACATCCCCTTGCTTAATCGCCCATACCGCAAAACCTCTAATACCTCGATTCCGGCTTCGCGAAATCCCATTGGCTAAGAGCTCATAGCGGAAAACCTCTGGTTGGCTCGATTTCGCCTCTGAGAAGTCTCATTGGCTGAGAGCCCATATGGAAAAAATTCTGATTGACTTGAATTCGCCTCCCCGAAATCCCATTGACTTAGAGCCTATATCGAAGAACCTCTGGTAGGTTCGATTCGGGCTTCGCCAAATCCCATTGGCTAAGAGCCCATATGAAAAAACTTCTGATTGGCTCGATTTCGTCTCCACGAAATTCCATTGGCTAAGAGCCCATATCGGAAAGCCTGTGATTGGCTCGATTTCGGCTTCACGAAATCCCATTGGCTAAGAGCCCATAGCGGAAAACCTCTGATTGGCTTGATTTCGGCTTCGTGAAATCCCATTGGCCAAGAGTCTATAAGGAAAACCTTCTGATTGGCTCGATTTTGGCTTCGGCAAATCCCATTGGCTAAGAGCTCATATTGGAAAACCTCTGATTGGCTGGATCTCGGATTCACGAAATCCCATTGGCTAAAACTTCATATGGGAAAACCTCTGATTGGCTGGATTTTGGCTTCGCCAAATCTCATTGGCTAAGAGCCCATATCTGAAAACCTCTAGTTGGTTCAATTTTGGCTTCGCAAAATCCTATTGGCTAAGAACCCATATCGAAAAACCTCTAGTTGGCTCGATTTTGCCTCCGCGAAATCCCATTGGCCAAGAGCTCATATCGAAAAAACGTCTGATTGGCTGGATTTGCTCTGCGCACAATCCCATTGGTTGATAGCCGACCTCGGAAAACCCTTGTTGACACGGGGAGTGAATTGTTCTCTGCGTTTTCACAAGGAACTGCTGAAGGTTAAAAAAACATTTTTTCGTTCTGTGCGAACGAACGAACGAACGCAGTTACGAACATACGAACCTTGCTCGGTGTATGACCCTCCTTTCAGTAGAGGGAACTTATGAGAAATATGGATTCGTAATATAACTTATAACGGATTTAAAAGAAAAATAAATGAAAATCTTAAGTCATTTTGAAGCATTGAGAATCTCAGCAATACTGACAACCATTTTCCGATTATATTTTGAATCCAATTTTTCATGCTTTAAATGATCAAATTTGAAAGCTATAAGCTTAGCAAAATGTATGACAGGGAGACCTCCATCTCGGTTGAAAACTGTTGCTATGATAATAACAAAAAAATCAATTTATCAAATTTTACTACGATGGATGTATTAAACTAGAACTACTGTTTTTAATCCATAAAACTTATCGAATTTCAGTTACTGAAATTCCGTGCAGAGACAACTCTAAGTTTTTCGATGATTTTGACTGCAGTAAAGAATATATGTAGACTTGTGGAGAAGATTCTCGTCTATCTAATAGTGTATACATTATTACACTCTACTCTGTGCTATTGACATGTAAATCGTACGTAGCAGTATCCCATTCTGTAGTCAAAATCTTATAGTCATCTTTATGCAATTTTTGCTATATCCTTGAGAAAACAAATTGATGTAATATCATATGTCTTAGTTAAATATGATGTTATTGTTTGCATCAAAAATAATCTTATTCATATACATACCAACATCATTAAATTGTTTTTCTATTGAACGAAAAATTTCTAATGGTTTTCGACAATGAAAACAAAAATTAGTACTACCAAAGATTAAATAAGGTTTTTTATCACTATTGGGTAAAATATTATTAAGAAATTCACTAAAAAACAAAAAAAAAGAAAATAAGATTTCAGAATAAGAAAGATAATTACTGTGAATGAATAATTTTCTTTGCACTGGATGATGTTTCATGAAAAAAATGTGCTCGAAACATATCAAATGGATCTCGAAAATGATAAGTATTAAAACCATGATGATTATCATCTGATGTTGTACCATATTCATCATATTGTTGTCGTTTTTTTGAATCAGATAAAATCTAAAATTGATTTCGAAATAAAAAAATTTTGTACGACTGCAATCATATGTTATTTTTCTTTTCTTTTACTTCATAAGCAGCATTAATTTTTGTAAATTGATCATGTGCATTTGATTCAGAATTTTTATCTGGATGCCAATATTTAGCTAATCTTTTATATGATTGTCGAATTTCTTTATCTGATGCTGTTCGTGATAAACCAAGAATTTCATATGGATTAAAATCATTTTGATTAGCTGATAAATTATGAAAACCAAGAATAAAATAAATAATAATATATTTAATTGAATACATATATATATAAATTTAAGAATCTAAAGTAAGAAAAAATAAAATAGTTTGATGTTAACAAATGATATAAAATCCTAGCTGAAGTAGTTTAAATATTAAGATACAACAATTTGAAAACAAGCAACTGATCTGTATATTTCAAAATAGACAAAAAATTTATAGATTCATAGCCGTATAAAATATAAAAATTCATTAATTATCATCCATAGAATTTTTATTTTGAATTTTTTTTTCTTTTTTTGTTTTTTTCTTCTTGTTAATTTTTTGTATTTCTTGATTACGTTTTTTAATTTGATTACGTTCATGTTCATTTATAAATTCATTATTATTATCTTTAATAAACATTTTAAAATAAATTCCACCTAATGTTCGTATTTGTCCATTATCAGATTTTATTATTGATGAATCATTTGTATTATATAATCGAATAGCTTCTTGTGCATATTGAAATGCACGTTGACAACCAATTATATCAAGTATAGCACGTAAAAGATCTTTATTTTTTTCATTATTTAATAAATGTGAAAGATTTTTTAAATCATTTCGATTTGATTTATGTTTAAAATTTGAATCTTGTTTTTTTTTTCGTTGAAAATATTTATTAATATTTGTTCCTGGTGGAAATACATATGTTAATGGATTAGTACTTTGTTGTGCTATTGGATCATCAATATGAATTATTTCTGTATTATCAGCTAATGCATTTGACATAATTGAAGAAAGATTTTGATCAGTTAACATTTTTGTCCATGATTGACTAGTTTGTTGAGGTTGAGAAATTATTTTAGAAGGAATTTCATCATTATCATTATCACTTAATGATGAATCTAATTCACCTTCACTTCGTTCGTTGTCGTCATCATCATCATCATCATCAAGTTTTATAGATGTATTATGTCGATGATTTTTAATACTCATCTATAACATTAAAAAAAAAATTTCAACGTCATCGTTAACAAAAACTATGATCTAACGAGAGAATCTTATCAACTTGAAAATTACTTTTGAGTTTAGACTCTAATGAGGTATTAAAAATCCCGAAAGGATAAGGTCTTCTAGGCCTTTCTTTCAAAGTTATAGCCGTTTTACTGAAATTTAATCCGCATCCTACTTGTAATTAGAGTCTGCTGAAAATTTTTAGGTCAAAATATCTCATTTCATTCTTTTGTTTATATACAGGCTAAAATTACAGTAAAACGGTAATAACTTTGTAAGAAAAGTCTAGGGATCCTTATCCTTTTGAAGTTTTTAATATCTCATTGGGATCAACATGATGCACAGAATCTAAACTCAATAGCAAATTTTAAGTTGGGAAGATTTTCTCCGATGTAATTAATATGAAATTATGCTAAAGTAAATAATAAAGACTTAAATAAATGAAATACATAGTTAGAATACTAAAAGACAAGAAATACAATGATTATTTGAAATCCTAAATAGGAAAATTGAAATAATGAATATATTAAAATATAGAACTGAATATCCAATGTGTGCTACAAGTCTTAGCATGAAAAGCATCGCGTAGAATTCAACCATTGATTAATGATAGCTGACCAGAATTGTTCTAAATGGCAATTATCACGTTTTAGAAAATATCATGGTGGGTCGAAATCTTAGAAAAAAAATCCTAATTATCATTCTGTATTTGTTTTAAATCTTCTTTTTTTCTTATTTCTTGTTCGAACAGTTGTTGGTACAGTTTCTATTCATAAAATCTTTAACTTCATATTATTAAACAATAGATTTAATTATGTAAAAAGCTTGCTTATATGATGAAATTTTTGCATAATCATTTTGTTCCATGAACAGTTTTAAAATTTCATGGAGTAATAACTTTGTTGTTTGCTTTTTAAAATAATTGTTATTAGCTCATATGTTTGTAATATTTCTTTAGATAAATAAATTGATCTAACTAATTTATAATATGATCATGTGTTTTTCTAAAGCTAAATAGATCAATATATTATTAACTAAAATATATAAGAAATGATTCGAACAGAAAGCATCGATGAAAAGTTACTTCTTTCAAAAAATAGATGAACATGAATGTATTATGGAAACTTAATCTTACCATTGTTTTTCTATTGAATGATTAAGTTATGACGTTTTTTTAGCTATTAAAATTAAAACAGCACTTGTGTAATTATGAAAAATTATTTTATTTTGAAATGTCTTTTTTCAAAATTTTTAAAGTAAAAGCTTTTTTTTCTTAACCAATGATGAAATGCAACGAATGAATTTAATAATTTATAGATATTGGTTAAAAGTGAAACATGTTGATATATAGATGGCATTAGCATGCGCCATCTATTTAGTGAAGATTTTAAAGTATAAAACCCTCATTTTTCAATGTAGATTATACTTTTTGGGTTACATTTTTTACCATGATATTCAAACTTCCAAGGCAAGCTAAAACAATCTGATCATTCGAACTTGTTTGAGAAGATATTTCCAGTTCAAGTAAATGATAGAGAAGTCACTAATAAATACATCATTATATCACGAGTGGATAGAAAAACATATTGTATTATGTTTGTGAAATAATTATGATTATCGAAGAGGAATCAATGATATTATTGTTCACTAACAATGCAAACATAGGAATACGTTGATAAAGAATCAATTTTCTTGAATATGAGTAATAAGTATTTGATGAAACTACAATAGAACAAGAAAAGTATGATAGAATTTTTATGACAACAGATAAGAAGTTGTCAACACAATCAGGCAGTAGAACATCAAAATGAATCAGTCAATTTGAAGTGACTTTTCTACGGATTTAGCAATCTCATAATGACATATTATATTGCATTTTTACGGAATTTTTTAAAGGTACCTATTTAAGTGCTAAGTAATCTATTTAAGTTCGCACTGAAAACGTTTAATTTTCTAAACAAAATATTAGGAATTGATAGGTTAAACATATAATTTTTGTTAAATAAAAATACAGAAATGTATAAGTAAAACATTTAATTGAATAATTATTCGATTAACAAACTTTTTGTTACTTTTCGTGGTCGTTCTTCGTTTTCTTTTTTCACTCAAAGGTACATTCTTTGTTGCTGGAGATAGTTTACAAAATTTCAATCTAATTGCCGTACCAATCACATGTTTGCAAATATTTTCTTTAAAAAAGTTTGAACAATTGCAAAATCTTTTTTTTTATTCTGATCCAATCTCCGACAAAGTTACTTTCCGTATTCCAAACTAAAGATCTTTAAAATTGATAGAATGACGTCCTATTTTTTTTTTTGTTTTATATCTTTGGATTTCATTCTTTGTGACATTTTTTTGTCTGACCATCTGATACATAGTAATCGGTAAAACCTTTTGTTTTAGATAGTAATTGTAATACTAATTTTGAGGATATGCATCACGTCCATTTTTTAAGTGTAAAATGTTAGTTCTGTAGAAAAAACAACAGAATCTGTTTGATCTTGATTGTAAGATTGGGTTACAATATCATTTTCAACTATAAGAAATCTTAATTATGTATGTCATTCTCTAAAAGTATATTCATCTTTATGATGACTTTATTTGTTAGTTCTAATTGATTGTTAGTACTTAGTGTAAATGTATTGTTATATCTTTTATACCATGAATCAAGAATTATTAACTATTCGTTTTCAAAATATTCTGTAAATTTATTTTTCCGTTTTGCTTCATTTCTTTAAAAGAGTATATACAAATTTTACTCGGTAAAAATCAACTTAACATTTATATATTTTTATTTACAACGGAAGTATTTGTATTGTAATCGAGCTAGGCTTGATATTTTGACGTCAAATGAAAGCTCTCACCGCCAAACTTATAAGATTAAAATATTAGCGGTCATTGATGCACTTTAGAGAGAGAGAGAGAGATATTCAATTTTTACGGTACTCACGGTTGGAATATATAGGAACTTTAGGATTATTTACATTAGTTTTTTATGCAATTAACTGAGTATTTCAATAATAGATTAGTGTTATGTATCAATTTTTGCAAGTTAAAGTCACATTGATACATGACAATGATCAACAATTCAGCGCTCTAATCAAATGAATACAAGAACAAACTGTACGATTAAAATAAAATGGCATCGATTAGAGAAATGTTTGATTGAACGAATTGAATTTGAGAAACGTGAACAATATGTTCGATCTGTTAGATGATGAAATAGAAAAAGTAATCGATGTCAAGGACGTCTTTTAAATCATTTGAATTTTACTGCTTTCTATTATAATATTAATTCAACATATGTATGGTAACATCGGTAAATCTTCTTTTCATCAGAAAATGATTGAAATTTAGCGAAAATTTCTCTCAACAAACCAATCCAATTTGGTTACTTCTTACAGTCATACTGTCTTAAACATGAACTAGTATTTGAAAGCAATATCATTCTAAAAATAAGCTGTTGAAATCGTAAAACGATTTAAAAAGTGCTTCGATCAAATACTTTCGATTGGCGCTAGAAAAATTCTTTTCGTGATAATTAATCAACATTTGGTAGATACAATTGATTTTAATCATTGTAAGCTAACAGAAGTTAATCTATCACGTAGGTGAAGTTAGCGCAAGATTCGTCTAGGAACATGTTCTAAACGTTTCAATACTTTTCCAAATACAACTTGACGAGCTCCATCCAACGATATAATCAGATTTTCCATAACTCATACAATGTCCGAGAAAATCTCAAAATACTGGTATTTGGCTATAGAATTCTTAGCACAAGATTCGAATAGATCCGGCCAAGATTCATCTAGAGACATCTTCTAAACGTTTCAATACTTGTTCCAAGTACAAATCAATAAGCTCTATTCAATAGTATGACCAGATTTTCTGTAGCTCAAATTATGATTTTTGGAACCATAGATGGCGGTGTAAAAAATCTGAAAATTATAGTTTGGGCCTTGGAAAATCTGATTATACCACTGGATACAGCTCATCGAGTTGTACTTGAAACAAGTATTGAAACGTTTAGAAGATGTCTCTAGATGAGTCTTGGCCGGATTTACTCGAATCTTGTGCCCACTTCACCGACGTTAATGTATTCGTCTTGTTTTCATTACTATGACACATGTTATAATAACAACTGTTGACATTTAAAAAAGAAAACTTGATTAGGCACTGAAGTCGAAATTATTATCATAAGATATAATTAAACTTTCGTTTTTTTTTTCTGTAGAATTTTTTGTATAAGCTAATGAAATATTCACGGATCGAAATAAAATATCAAGAATAATCTATCTTTGAGTGGCTAAAGATCTCCAATCACATACTCCAGTCCGTTCCCTATTATTTGATTGATCAAATTTCAAGTTAGTTTTTTTCTTCAGTGCATATATAACTTACTCATTGAATCAAGTGAAACAGAAAACTTTCCTTTTTTCTATAAATTAGAAAACTTTTAAATTCAAATATTATTTAATTATACATTGAAAATATAATAAAAGATGACTTATCCCAAAATTTCTACTATTGGTATTTAATGGATCACCAGTCGCATAACTACAATGTTTATTTCTATATTGAATGAATTTGATCGAAAAATTTCGAAATTATTTCATGTTATAAATATTTTCTAGATTTAACTAAACATCATTGTCATTTACTTATGTCGTCAAAAATTAGTCGAGTATGTATATAACGAAAACAAAACAAAAAAAAAATCGTAAATCTTTCTCTTTCATTTCATTAGGATACGCTGTTTGAAACAGCACAAAATGTTTTAACATATGCAAATGAAACTAAAAAACGTAATTTTGTTGAAACTGTTGAATTACAAATTGTTTTAAAAAATTATGATCCATCACGTGAGAAACGTTTTAGTGGTACAGTACGTCTTCGTCATGTTCCAAAATCAAAATTTACTGTATGTGTTTTGGGTGATGAAAGACATTGTGATGAAGCTCGTGCTAATAATATTCCAGCAATGACAGTTGAAGATTTAAAAAAATTAAATAAAGATAAAAAATTAGTACGAAAATTATCACATCAATATGATGCATTTCTTGCATCGGATGTTGTTATTCGACAGATTCCACGTATTCTTGGTAAATATTTTCAGAGATATCAAAAAAAAAAAGAAAAAAAATTTTTTTTTTGTTTTATCAAGGACCGGGTTTAAATAAAGCTGGTAAATTTCCAACAGCTGTTACACATAGTGATGTATTAACACAAAAAGTTGAAGAAATTAAGTCAACAATTAAATTTCAAGCTAAGAAAACAATATGTTTAGCAGTAGCTCTTGGAAATGTTAATATGTCTGTTGAAGAATTGGCTGCAAATATTAATTTATCAGTCAATTTTCTTGTTTCATTATTGAAAAAGAATTGGCAAAATGTAAGAGCACTCTATGTTAAATCGACTATGGGCAAGCCACAACGACTTTATTAGAGAATAAGAATATAAAAATCTATTGACGACGAAAAATAATAACCAATCAAGTACAAAGAGAATACAAATCTTTTTTTTTTTTTTTTGATAAAATCATTATTTTGTTTTCTATGTATATGTCAAAAAAAAAATAAGAAGAGAAATAATAAAAAAAAACAAATTTTGCGCATACATTTATATTTCAACTAATACAAATATCTCTGTGTTCGTTCGATTTATTTTAATCGTAGATAGTTTAATTCTCAAATGAGTAACTATCGACGGCATTCAGGTACTTCGAACAGGTACGTTGTTTTTTTTTTGTCGAAATTATTTTTATTTTCCTTTTATTTCATTATATATAAAGATAATTTCTAAATTTAACTGGATGTTTTTCTTATTGTTGATATCGCGCATGTATATGTATATACGTGCTTTTGTTAAGGCGCTGTTCGAAAGTAACGGGATTCAGCAGTGTTCAGACTTCTTAAAAAGGAAATTTCGGAGATTTCAAGTACTTGTGTTCTGATTTTACGTTACTTCCTAAAATGATGTAATTTCAGAAATTTCAGAAATTTCTAATATGTCTAAAAACTTTTGATTTGCACTGCTATATAGTTATCAAGCTGATGGAAATTTCAGAAATGTGGGTAATTTCCTTTTTTGGAAATCTAAACATACCTCACGGGATTAGGTTTTTGGCTATTTTAGACT